TCAAACTTGGTCAGAATGCTTGTCTAGTCAATTGCTTGGATGAGTTCAAACATGGGTCATCTCTGATGAAAAAATAGGTCACAGGAGCTAAAAATAGAAAAACCTTGTGAACACTCTAGTGGTCACATTTTTGACCCAATCATCATCAAACTTAATCAGGATGCTTCTCTTGTTGATAGCTCGGATGAGTTCGAACATGGGTCATCTCGGATAAAAAAGTAGGTCACCGGAGCTAAAAATAGAAAAACCTTGTTAACACTCTAGCGGTCACATTTTTGCATCAATCATCATCAAACTTGGTCAAGATGCTTGTCTAGGTGATAGCTCAGATGAGTTCGAACATGTGTCATCTCGGATGAAAAAGTAGGTCACCGGAGCTAAAAATAGAAAAACCTTGTTAACACTCTAGCGGTCACATTTTTGCATCAGTCATCATCAAACTTGGTCAAGATGCTTGTATAGGTGAAAGCTCAGATGAGTTCGAACATGGGTCATCTCGGATGAAAAACTAGGTCACAGGAGCTAAAAATAGAAAAACCATGTTAACACTCTAGAGGTCACAATTTTTCCTCAATCATCATCAAACTTGGTCAGGATGCTTGTTTAGGTGATAGCTCGGATGAGTTCTAACATGGGTCATCTCGGATGAAAAAGTAGGTCACCGGAGCTAAAAATAGAAAAACCTTGTTAACACTCTAGCGGTCACATTTTTGCATCAATCATCATCAAACTTGATCAAGATGCTTGTCTTGGTGATAGCTCGGATGAGTTCGAACATGTGTCATCTCGGATGAAAAACTAGGTCACAGGAGCTAAAAATAGAAAAACCTTGTTAACACTCTAGTGGTCACAATTTTGACTCAATTGTCATCAAACTTGGTCAGGAAACTTGCCTAGGTTATTGCTTGGAATAAATTGAACATGGGTCATCTCAGATGAAAAAGTAGGTCACCGGAGCTAAAAATAGAAAAATCTTGTTAGCACTCTAGTGGCTACTGTTGTGATCCAAATATTCTGTTAATTGGTCTGAAAGTTTGTTTTGATGATTTTCTAAGTCAAGTTCGAACATGGGTCATCTTGGATGAAAAACTAGGTCACACCGCCCAAATATGGAAAAACCTTGTTAACATTCTAGTGGTCATATTTTCGACTCAATTATCATCAAACTTGGTCAGGATGCTTGTCTAGGTAATTGCTTGGATGAGTTCGAAATCGCATGTGGGACTAGGTCACCGGAGCTAAAAATAGAAAAATCTTGTTAACACTCTAGTTGCTACTGTTTTGATCCAAGTATCCTGGAAATTGGTCTGAAAGTTTGTTTTGATGATTTCTAGGTCAAGTTTGAATATGTGTCACCTGGGTAAAAAACTAGGTCACACTGCTCAAATATGGATAATCCTTGTTAACACTGTAGTGGTCACATTTTCGACTCACTTGTCATGAGACTTGGTCAGAATGCTTGTCTAGGTAATTGTTTGGGTGAGTTTGATAAGTCAGGTGAGCGATCTAGGGCCATCATGGCCCTCTTGGTTATTAACTGACCTAGATTTTGACATGTGACCTACTTCCTTGTCCATGAAATTTGGGTGGCATATGCACAGATTAAGATGTAAACTGAACTTTGATATCAGCTGACCTACATTTTGGCAAAGTGACCTACTTTCTTGTCCTTTGATGTACAGCCATGAAATTTGGGCCATGTGGACAGTTTCAGATTTAATATTGAACTTTGTTATCACCTTACTTAGATTATGATGAAGCGACTTCCTTTGGCTTTTTAGCTCACCTGACCACGAAGTGGTCAAGGTGAGGTATAGTAATGGGGCTATGTGCGGCGTCGTCAACAATTGGGTTGTTAACAGTCTAGCAGTTACAGTTTTGATTGAATCATTGTCAAAATTTGTCAGAATGTTTGTCTCAATGAAATACAGATCGTGTTCGAAGATGGGTTATCTCGAGTCAAAGTAGGTCACAGGAGCTAAAAATAGAAAAAGCTTGTTAACACTCTAGTGGCTGCAGTTTTGATCCAAATATTCTGGAAATTTTTCAGGAAGATTGTTTTGATGATTTCTAGGTCAAGTTCGAAGTTGGATCATCTTCGGTCAAAAACTAGGTCACAGGAGCTAAAAATAGAAAAAGCTTAACACTCTAGTGGCTGCAGTTTTGATCCAAATATTCTGGAAATTTGTCAGGAAGGTTGTTTTGATGATTTTTAGGTCAAGTTCGAAGATGGGTTATCTCCGGTCAAAAACTAGGTCACAGGAGCTAAAAATAGAAAAAGGTTGTTAACACTCTAGTGGCTGCAGTTTTGATCCAAATATTCTAGAAATTTGTCAGGGAGGTTGTTTTGATGATTTCTAGATCAAGTTCAAAAATGGGTCATCTCCGGTCAAAAACTAGGTCACAGGAGCTAAAAATAGAAAAAGTTTGTTAACACTCTAGTAGCTGCAGTTTTGATCCAAATATTCTGGAAATTTGTCAGGAAGGTTGTTTTGATAATTTCTAGATCAAGTTCGAAGATGGGTTGTTTCCAGTCAAAAACTAGGTCACAGGAGCTAAAAATAGAAAAAGTTTGTTAACACTCTAGTGGCTGCAGTTTTGATCCAAATATTCTGAAAATATGTCAGGAAGTTTGTTTTGATAATTTCTAGGTCAAGTTTGAAGATGGGTTATCTCCGGTCAAAAACTACGTCACAGGAGCTAAAAATAGAGTTAAGCTTGTTAACACTCTAGTGGCTGCAGTTTTGGTTCAAATATTCTGGAAATTTGTCAGGAAGGTTGTTTTGATGATTTCTAGGTCAAGATTGAAGATGGGTCATATCCGGTTAAAAACTAAGTCACAGGAGCTAAAAATAGAAAAAGCTTGTTAACATTCTAGTGGCTGCAGTTTTGATACAAATATTCTGGAAATTTGTCAGGAAGATTGTTTTGATGATTTCTAGGTCAAGTTCGAAGATGATCATCTTCGGTCAAAACTTAGGTCACAGGAGCTAAAAATAGAAAAAGCTTGTTAACACTCTAGTGGCTGCAGTTTTGATCCAAATATTCTGGAAATTTGTGAGGAAGGTTGTTTCGATGATTTCTAGGTCAAGATTGAAGATGGGTCATCTCCGGTCAAAAACTAGGTCACAGGAGCTAAAAATAGAAAAAGCTTGTTAACACTCTAGTAGCTGCAGTTTTGATTCAAATATTCTGGAAATGTGTGAGGAAGGTTGTTTTGATGATTTCTAGGTCAAGTTCCAAGATGGGTCATCTCCGGTTAAAAAATAGGTCACAGAAGCTAAAAATAGAAAAATCTTTTTAACACTCTAGTGGCTGCAGTTTTGATCCAAATATCCTGGAAATTTGTCAGGAAGGTTGTTTTGATGATTTCTAGGTCGAGTTTGAATATAGGTCGTCTCCAGTCAAAAATTAGGTCACATTGCCCTAATATGGAAAACCTTTTTAACACAATAGAGGTCACATTTTTGACTCAATTGTCATCAAACTTGGCCAGGATGCTTGTCTAAGATATTGCTTGGATGCGGTTGATTGGTCAGGGGAGCGATCCAGGGCCATCATGGCCCTCTTGTTTATATACAGCTATAACATTTTGACCATGTACACACTGTTGTAGAACTGAAATTTGATTTCAAATGACCTAGATATCCACCTAGCGACCTACTTTCTTGTTTTTGTGTCGCCTTGAAAGGGCGACATATAGGGGTTTCTTTTGTCGGCGTAGGCGTCCCCTAAAGCTTGTCTGGAGCATAACTCAGTCACTATAAGTCCGATTGACTTCAAACTTGGTATGCATGCTTCTTTTAATAACCCAAAGTGCATTGCCCAAGGACCAGTACTCTGCACTTCCCTAATTTTTGAGTTATTGCCCTTTGTTAATTTTCATACTTTAATTTTGTCCAGGCCATTTCTCCTAATGTATAAAAGCTATGGACTTGAAACTTCATAGGATGATAGATCTCATTAAGAAGAAGTGCTGTCCACAAGAACCGTTACTCTGCATTTCTTACTTTTTGACTTATTGCCCTTTGTTAATTTTCATACTTTATTTTTGTCCAGGCCATTTCTCCTAAAGTATTAAAGCTATGGACTTGAAACTTCATAGGATGATAGATCTCATTAAGAAGAAGTGCAGTGCATAAGAACTGGTACTCTGCATTTCTTACTTTTGAGTTATTGCCCTTTGTTAATTTTTATACTTTATTTTTGTCCAGGCCATTACTCCAAAAGTATAAAAGCTATGGACTTGAAACTTCATAGGATGATAGATCTCATTAAGAAGAAATTCAGTGCACAAGAACTGGTACTCTGCATTTCTTATTTTTTGACATATTGCCCTTTGTTAATTTTCATACTTTATTTTTGTCCAGGTCATTTATCCTAAAGTATAAAAGCAATGGACATGAAACTTCATAGGATGATAGATCTCAGTGCACAAGAACTGGTACTCTGCATTTCTTACTTTTTGACATATTGCCCTTTGTTAATTTTCATACTTTATTTCTGTCCAGGCCATTTCTCCTAAAGTGTAAAAGCTATGGTCTTTTAACTTCATAGGATGATAGATCTCATTAAGAAGAAATGCAGTGCACAAGAACTGGTACTCTGCATTTCTTACTTTTTGACTTATTGCCCTTTGTTAATTTTCATACTTTATTTCTGTCCAGGCCATTTCTCCTAAAGTATAAAAGCTATGGTCTTGAAACTTCGTGGGATGATAGAGTGCAGTGTACAAGAACCGGTACTCTGCACTTCTTATTTTTTGAGTTATTACCCTTTATTAATTTTCATACTTTATTTCTGTCCAGGCCATTTCTCATAAATTATAAAAGCTATGGACTTGAAACTTCATAGGATGATAGATCTTATTGATAAGAAGTGCAGTGCACAGAATATTCTGTTAGAATATTCATTTAAATGTGCTGTCTTACTGACAGCTCTTGTAATACTACAAGTAATTGTTTTGTTTGACAGGTTTTTGTTTTCAATTTTATTTCCAGGGAATAGATGTGTTGTCTGATATGTTAGTTGAAGATATGTCTCTGATCAAGTATGTGAAAGATGCAGGACTGGTACTGTTTCTGTGGGGAGAAGGTTGCAATGATAAAAGAATGATTCAAAAGTTCAAGGATGCCAAAGTTGATGGTATTATATACGATAGGTAAATATTTATTAATAGATCATAAATACTATGTTTATAGGAATGCCCATAATAATAATTCTTTCTCTCTCTCTCTCTAGAAATTTGGACATTATCAGCATTTACTAAATTTCTGTAAAAAACAACATCCGTTGGGTTGAAAAACTAAATCTGACAAAAATCATACTTACAAGTAGGCAAATCATGTAAATCACATATCTGTGAGACCCCTTTTACCTGAACTGAAAGTGCACAAAGTGAGTCTGTCGTCAACTTTTTATACAAACAACTTCTCAGAAACCACTGGGTCGAATTTGATGAAATCTTCCTGGGAATGTTTTTACTAAAATTGTTCAAATGGTTCTGCTATATTGAACATCTGGGTCAGAAGGGCTAAAAATAGATTTTTAAAATGAAATTTTTTAAAATTTCTCCTCTGAAAGTGCAAGGTCTAGAGCTTAGATATTTTGTGTGTAGCATCATCTAATGAAACTTTACAAAAATTGTTCAAATTATAGCCCTTTGATTTTCCTTATATGTATATACAGTCAAACTTGTATTAAGCAACCGGGCAAGGGAAACACCTAAAACGGTCTCTTAATGAAACGGTCTCTTAAGACAAAGCATGATATAAAAGTCAAATTTATAAATGACATCTTTCTTATGCGGTTGGAATGTTTTTCAACTTCATTTTTAGCTCACCTGTCACAAAGTGACAGGGTGAGCTTTTGTGATCGCTTTTCGTCCGGCGTCCGTCCGTCCGTAAACTTTTACTTTAAATGACATCTCCTCATAAACTACTAAGCCAATTTCATCCAAACTTCACAGGAATGTTCCTTTGGTGGTCACCTTAAAAAATTGTTCAAAGAATTTAATTCCATGCAGAACTCTGGTTGCCATGGCAACCGAAAGAAAAAAACTTAAAATATCTTCTTTTAAAAAACCGTAAGAGCTAGAGCTTAGATATTTGGCATGAAACATCTTCTAGTGAGTGTCTACCAAGTTTGTTCAAATAAAAGCCTTGGGGTCAAAATTGGCCCCGCCCCAGGGGGTCATTGATTTTCCCTATATGCATATAGTAAAAACTTAAAAAATCTTCTTTTAAAGAACCCAAATAGCTAGAGCTAAGATATTTAGCATGAAACATCTTCTAATGAGTGTCTACCAAGTTTGTTCAAATAAAAGCCCTGGGGTCAAAATTGGCCCGGCCCCAGGGGGTCATTGATTTTCCTTATATGCAAATATATAGTAAAAACATAAAAAATCTTCTTTTAAAGAACTCAAAGAGCTAGAGCTAAGATATTTAGCATGAAACATGTTCTAATGGGTGTCTACCAAGTATGTTCAAATAAAAGCCCTGGGGTCAAAATTGGCCCCGCCCCGGGGGTCATTGATTTTCCTAAAATGTGTATAGCAAAAACTTAAAAATCTTCTTTGAAAAAACCCAAATAGCTAGAGTTTAAATATTAAGCATGAAACATCTTCTAATAAGTGTCTACAAAGTTTGTTCAAATAAAAGCCCTGGGGTCAAAACTGGCCCCGCCCCAGGGGTGTCATTTATTAACTATATGTGTATAGTAAAAACTTAAAAAATCTTCTTTTAAGAAACCCAATGAGCTAGAGCTTAGATATTTGGCATGAAACATCTTCTAGTGAGTGTCTACCAAGTTTGTTCAAATAAAAGCCCTGGGGTCAAAATTGGCCCCGCCCCAGGGGGTCATTGATTTTCCCTATATGCATATAATAAAAACTTAAAAAATCTTCTTTTAAAGAACCCATAGAGCTAGAGCTAAGATATTTAGCATGAAACATCTTCTAATGAGTGTCTACCAAGTTTGTTCAAATAAAAGCCCTGGGGTCAAAATTGGCCCTGCCCAAGGGGATCATTGATTTTCCTTATATGCATATATAGTAAAAACTTAAAAAATCTTCTTTTAAAGAACTCAAAGAGCTAGAGCTAAGATATTTAGCATGAAACATGTTCTAATGGGTGTCTACCAAGTATGTTCAAATAAGAGCCCTGGGGTCAAAATTGGCCCCGCCCTGGGGGTCATTGATTTTCCTTGTATGTGTATAGCAAAACTTTAAATCTTCTTTGAAAAAACCCAAATAGCTAGAGTTTAGATATTAAGCATGAAACATCTTCTAGTAAGTGTCTATAAAGTTTGTTCAAATAAAAGCCCTGGGGTCAAAACTGGCCCCGCCCCAGGGGTGTCATTTATTAACTATATGTGTATAGTAAAAACTTAAAAAATCTTCTTTTAAGAAACCCAATGAGCTAGAGCTTAGATGTTTAGCATGAAACATCTTATGGGTGTCTACCAAGTTTGTTCAAATAAAAGCCCTTGGGTTAAAATTGGCCCTGCCAGGGGGGGTGTGCTATATACAGGTGAGCGACTTCAGGGCCATCATGGCCCTCTTGTTATTTTATTTTCTTGTTGAATAATTAGTATGCTCTGATAATCTAAATGGATGCTAATGTAAATAATAACTTTCTGATATTTATTGACAAAACAGTTTGATCCATTACGTACATGTTTCGAGAATTTTTTAACTTCTCCGTTGTTTTTCCTTTACTCCAACACGAAAACCCTATTAGTGAAGATGCTTTCTGTTGTGCATGTTTCATTAGAAATAAACAAACTACATCTTATTGTTACGATTAATTTAATTTCTGATCAAGTTCAAGGTCAATTCAATGCAGTCTAAATGTCAACAAGCGAAGCGTATAACCATCTCAGTAGGGGCGGAGTGTTGCATTGTTTATTCGATATTATTGGATAATACACGTCACACATATACTTAACTTCATTTGCATACGCTAAAACGGTTTGGGAAATAGAGTTTTTCACACGTTTATTTGTTGTGTTTGATTTTTGACACTTGTGACTTACGAGGCGGCGTTCTCTAAAAACACAATTTCTTGACAGGTAAAAGTGGTCGTTTAATGAAAAGATTGATCTCAATTAGGTGACTTATTAGCGGTCGCTGGTGGCGATAAGCAAAAGTCGCTTTATACATTAAAGATATAGAGAGAAAATGATCGGGGGGGGGGGGGGGGGGGGGGGGGGGGGGGGGGGGGGGAATTTAAAGTGGTCGTTTAAGACAAAAGTCGCTTAATACACGTGGTCGCATGGGCAAGTTAGACTGTACTAAAATCTTAAAGCAGCACGCCTCCAGATACATGCTAATTTTTCATGAAAATTGAGAAAATGCATAAAAAGATAAAATATTGTAATGTGAACGAAGATG